ACGGGTGTGCGCCTTTCTGTTGTTTAATTTCTCCGATTTCTCTTATTTACGTTTCCATTCCGAGCAAGAGTATGCCTGTGACATAGGTTGCAGCTCTTTCTAGGGGTGTTGTTTTAGACCCAGTTTCTCCATGTTTTTGGAGTGTTAAAAGCTCTGGCGTGCTGAAATATTCAACACGAGATATCAACGGCATTGCAGAACACCCTCGTAACCTAGTTCGAAGGTTACCCGGCTCAGCAAGTAATAATAAGAAGTGAGCTTGTGTGTATATGGGCTGGTCTGGGTAGACAAACGTCGAACTAACCTATCTAGCTTGTTATGCATCAATTTACCACCTAGCGGTGCAGGACCAGCCACTCAATATGACTGTTTTTTTTTTATCAACTTACCGGCATGACCTAGAAAAACAATATGCAAAGGACGATAACTGCCGTAGGACGTCTGAAGCGATGCTTGCCACTCTGCACAGAGCATACTTGTCTCCGCTTTTCTCTGTGAGTCAGTTACAGTCATGAAATATGTGCGCAGCTGGTTCTCAAGGCAGTGGACAGTTGCAGTGACTGCCTCCACAGCCATCGTCCATTCGCTTTTGCATGAACGCTCATGGACTTCTTGATGATAATAATAATGATGATGATGTCTTTCTTTCTATCTCTTATTCATTCCTCTGCATGCACGAATGATCAGTACACATCATTATATTATTATCACGCTGTTTAATTCATCACCCACACAAACATTCACAAAACGCCCGTTAAACATTCGTCCAGCCATCTTTCTATAAACTAATTAGCAAAATAACATTAATAATAACTACTAACATACTTGACTTGAGAAAGCGAACACTGCTGGGGACTTTCTGCAACAATAACAAAATACAATATACATATAAAATAATATAATTTTTTTTTTCGTATCAACATCATGTAGCAGGTTCTTTGCAGAACGTCGCTCTCATCGCGGTCTGCCTGAAATAAACTCGGTCTTATGTCAGCTCTCCTGCTTCATGTACTTTCATACTCAAGCAGTCACATACATCGTGTGCCCATCTTTGTGTTGGTTGGCCCCTGCCCCTCCTTCCTGGTACTATGTCTTCTGCTATTATTTTTCCAATCCCTCATGGCGCTGGATATGACCAACATATTTCAGCTTCCGGGACAGGATGCTGTTTATTAGCCAATCTTCCTTGATGTTCAGATCTTTCAAGATGTCAGTATTTCTCATCTTCTTTTTCCACGATTTTCTGAGAATCTTTTTATAGCATTTCAGCACACAAGCCCTTATTCTCCTTTTTAAAGAATTGGGAGATAGTCAACGACTCACGTGTGCATGACTGCGTGTGCGTTTCCTGTGCGTCTCTGTTTATGCGTCTGTGTGTGTTAGTATTTGGTGTCTGTGGGTGTGTATCTATGTATGTGTGTTTGTGTGTATGTGTGTGTTTGTGCGTGTGTGTGTGTGCTTGTATGACTGTGTGTATGTGTCTACATGTGTATCTGTGTGTGTGTATACATGTGCCTGTGAATGTGTTTGCGTGTCTGTGTGTTCTGTGTGTATGTGGCTGTGTGTGTGTCTTTGTTGTGTTTGTGTGTGTGGGTGTGTGTTGGTATGTGCCTGTGTGTATATGTGTGTTGGCGTGAATGCCTGTGTAAGGATATTTGTATTGTGTGTCTGTGGGTGTGTATCTATGTATGTGTGTCTGTGTGTGTTTGTCTGTGTGTATGTGTGTGTGTTTGTGGTGTAAGATTGTGTATATATGTCTGTATGTGTATCTGTGTCTACATGTATCTGTGCGTGTGTTTGCTTGTATGTGTGTTCTACTTGTATGTAGCTGTGTGTCTGCCTGCGTGTGTGTTTGTAAGTGTGTGTCTTTGTTGTGTTTATGTGTGTGTGTATGTGTGTGCGTGAATGCCTGTGTATATGCGCGTCTCTGTGTGTATATATTTTGTCTGTGTGTATCTCTGTGTGTAGTGTCTCTAGATGTGTCTACGTGTATGTGTTTGTGCGTCTGCGTGTGTGTCTGTGTGTGTGTGTGTGTGAGTGTGTATATGTATGTCTGCGTACGTGTTTTGCGTTTGTGTGTCTGTGGGTGTGTATCTGCGTGTATCTGTGCGTGTATGAATGCCTGCGTATGCTTCTGCGTAAGTGTGTCTGAGGTAGTGTGTATGTGTCTGCGTGAGCATCAGCGCGTGTGTGTGTTTGTGTGTCTCCGAGTGTATCGGAGTGTTTCTGTGTCTGCGTGTGTTTGTGCATATGTGTTTGTGTGTGTCTGCGTGTGTGTATGCCGATTTGTCTGTGTAAGTCGCATGTGTGTGTCTGTGTGTGTGTATCTGTGTGTGTGATTGGGTATGGCGCGTATGTCTGTTTGTGTATGTGTGTCTGCATTTGTTTCTATGGGTATGTCTGTATGTGTATATCTGTATGTTTTTATGTCTGTAGAATGTTCGTGTCTGTGTGGGTGTGTAGGTATGTATGTGGGTGAATGGATTGTGTTTATATGTGTGTTAAGGTATGTGGGTGTGTTTAAGTAAGTTGGTGGGTGTGTGTGTATGCATGCATTTTACCACCCATGCTTTTGTGCTTTTTCCACCCCCCCCCCCCTTTTCCTCTTTTTAAAATATATTAACATATGAATATAACATGCTTATTTACAAAATACAGTTGCAGTGTGAAAGACGGGTGTTTGAAAGGGCCGAATGTAAGACAGGCCTGCGTGCCCAATTTGCGACCCTTTGAAAATAAAGCCCGTTCGTTCCGAATGTTGCTACAGGGAAGATGCATGCTCTCAAGCTTCTAATTGTGATCCCTATGCTGGTGCATAACCATAGACTTTTGAAAGCTGTTTGATCTTTGCATCGCCATGGCCATCCTCCTTTTAATGTCTGTCAAACAGTCTCCATTGCTCTTTATTATTGTTTTCGTATAGGTTTAGTGAATATATTAGGTTAGTGAGCGGCTGCCCTAGATGAGCGGCTAGAGCACAGCTCTTCTGATCCGACAGTATCTGTCGTGTGTTTTCCCCCCAAATGTATTGGGGTTAACGGGACCCGCTGTGGGTAGCAGCTTGAAGTTTGCCTTCGCCTGTAGTTCAGGTCCTAACCAAGACCGGCTCCAGCTGACGGGCCACGCTGCTGACGTCACTAAACTGGGCTCTCTATATGCTAACGCAGTGTTTTCCCCTCCTTTTTCCCCCCCCCCCCAAAATCGCGGCGCCCCTACCCTTAAAGCCAAAAAAAAAAAATTCGTGGCACACCTACCCTTAAAGCAGTAGAAATTTAATCGAGCAGATTTTGAAAAAAAAAAATATTGATTATTGCTGCGGCACCACTGACAAATAGTCGAGGCAGCCCTCTATGCCGCGGTCCCCAGTTTGAGAATCGCTGTGTTAAACGTATCGTTAGCCCTGTTTTGTGACGTCAGCAACATTCCTGGTAGCTGGAGCCGGCCTTGTATTAAATGAACCGTACTTTTTTTTAAAAATGACCTTGGCTCTCGGGTTGACCCGGCCTTAAGTAGGTACCAGGTAAAGTCCTGGAAAGTAAAGTCAGTCGGCATCCACAGAGTGCTGATTGGTCTATAAAATATAGGTGTGGCCTACATGTCATATACGCCTCAAGGTTTGGAAAAGGGTCCTTCACTTTTATTGATTTTACCCTTCCTTTGGAGTAAACAAGGTAGGCCGAGCGTGGGATCACCATGTATGGGCAAGAGATGGTCTCTACAGTACTTCCCAGGCTTTGTGCTCTTGCTCGACCAGCTCCAGCTAACAGGCCGTCACCGAGTCAGACTAACGATGAGGTAAAGCAGTGGTTCTCAAACTGGGTGCCGAGGCGACCTGTGGTGTCGTAAATGTATGCCAGGGGTGGCGAGGCAATAATCAAGAAAAGTATGCTAAAATTGTGAAATTATTAAAGAAGGCATGTAGATACTTAAAAGTTATATTTTAAGTTGTCTTCCCTCGCCACTGTAAAAAAAAAAAAAGTTTTTTTCTTGTTTGAGAAGCACTAAGTCAACACATCGTTAGCCCGATCCGATGACGTCAGCAGCACTCCCCGTCAGGTGGAGCCGGTCTTTGCTCTTGCCAGTCACACTCGTCATCACCACTGACTGTGACTCCCATACCACCCCATAATATAACACCATCGTCTGGAAAGACGGAAAGGTGCTGGCCAGATCAGTAAACAAGCAACCGTCCCTTTCCCTGCCATCGGGCATCTAGTGCTGAACCCAAATTTGTATAAAATAATTCACATTTTCGGCCTCATTTACTTCCCATACCTTTTTTCTGATACCCATTTTAGATTGCGTCGATCTGGGAGCCTTAGGCCTAAAATAAAAATTCTGCTTGATGAGGTTTTTAGCCAGTAAAATATTGCACAGGAAATATTAGAAGAAATAATATAATACAAGTTGAGGATTTACAGGGTTTCCCACGTCGACTTAGCTTAGAGTGGGTCTTGCGAAATGTCATAGAAAGTAGAATGTTAAAAGTTCATTCACGAATTGACATCACAGCACCCAGTACACCCCCATAAGCGCCCCATCCCCTTCTTCAGTAGCAAGCAAGGAGTTCCTATTCCGGTGGTATTAGTAACTGTCTGATTGTACATCCGTTTCGTCTTCTGCTTGAGTATTGAGCGTCCGCCAGATTTCTAGTGACTCCCTGCAGCACCTCAGATCGTAATGACCTATCTATGCCTCAGAACAAGGAGAAAATAAAGGAGACAGGAGCAATATTTACCCCATAATTCACTGTGTTGGTCTATGAATGTAAGTAAACTCGATCTATCTACTATAAGCACGGAGAAAGGAGCTTTTATTACCCCAATACGTACTGTTGATCTATAAATGTATGTAACACGATCTATTTACTATACTCACCTCGCTCCTAGATGAACAATTCTCTCCACTCCGTAATGACCTATTCGTGCCTCCGGACTGTCCACATCCAACCCCCTCCCCCCTCCAGTTACGGTGTCTCCTTCAAAGTGCAACTTACAAACTTAAAACAACCAACGACTTACACATTCTGTAGTTGGAATCAGTTTTGTAAACTCTCTAGCGCATGGCTTCTTGCCTTCTGCAAAAGGTCCCACACAAGAAGCGTAGGCCATTACAATAGGGATGTAACTCTGTTCGTGAACACCCGTGTATAGAAATGATTGTGGCCCTTAGAACAAGAATTAACAATAAATGATTAACCTAGTTAATATTTCTTCTTCTTCTTCTTCTTCTTCTTCTTCTTCTTCTTCTTCTTCTTCTTCTTCTTCTTCTTCTTCTTCTTCTTCTTCTTCTTCTTCTTCTTCTTCTTCTTTTTCTTCTTTTTCTTCTTTTTCTTCTTCTTTTTTTTCTTCTTCTTCTTTTACTTCTTCTTCTTCTTCTTCTTCTTCTTCTTCTTCTTCTTCTTCTTCTTCTTCTTCTTCTTCTTCTTCTTCTTCTTCTTCTTCTTCTTCTTTTTCTCTTGCTGCTGCTGCTTCCTTGAAAAATGCTGTGTTGAGGCTGACAGTTGGGCCCAACACATCTATTTCAGCAAATCTCTTTCATATCCAGCCAGGCCCTCCAACAATATCCAAGCGTGAGTTAGATGAACACACTTTTTCATTGCGTGTGGGGTAGGTTATCAAAATCAACACCACGCATTTCTTTACATGTGAGGTTTGAGGTTTGAACAAAGCATAAACATCATGGCACACGGGTGGTAACCCATTAGTGATCCCTTCTTCTTTTAAGTCCGAACAGTGCACAGGCTCTGTAGCACTAGCAAGGATCCGGATATACTTGATTGATTTTTAACTACAAATTTTGCCCGGGCAGCGCCCTTGAGCTATTCTTTTTTTATTTCCAACTGCCATGGGATTTTTTACGTGCGCAACAATACACACGGGCGTTCGATCTTACTACCCAGAGACCAGGGAGAATTACAAGAAGTCTAAGGTTACGTGAAAAAATTCCAGCCCATACTGGGGGATTAAACCCGGAACCTTAAACACTCGAGTGGGACACCATGCATCGAGACCACCCGGCCCCCTGCACATGTGAATTAATTTCTAAACAACCTCCACTTCGTGTGTCTCTTACTGTATATTGTTTTAAGGGGTACACAAATGATTAGTCAAACAAAGATTAAAAAAAAATCACTGCTTTCAGAAAACAGCACCATGTGTGCAATTCTAAATCATAAAATCATAAGAACATGGAAAATCTATAGTTTTCCACAACTCACCATGTCTTTTACGGTGACGCTGAAAAAAAAAAAAATTATTCCTAAAAATTGTACTGGTACTGCACACCGGTGCTCACCGACAGAAATGTTGAAGAAACATTACAGAAACATTTTTTTTTTTACTATATAAAAATAAAACAGCAATCACTATGTGTATTGACCACTTGTTTGGAAAAGGCGTTGAGGTCTTTGAGACTGGGGATTTAGGACTGCAAGGCTTGTGCTGTCGCCACAGACTGGGTGGGTCCGGATTAATTCTTGAATAGAACGAATTAAAATAACACAGGGGTGATACGGGAAAAAAATTGCTTTATTAATATCCTACCCCCTCCCCCTCCCCCAGATTACGTCACAGGTCAGCCAAACATTTTAGAGGGTGGTAAGATTGAATTTTCCGTCTTTCTGATTCTTTTAACGACCCCAAAACATCTAGAAATGTCCCTAATTTAACCCAATTAGGTCCCACGAGAAAGTGCAGCCTATGTCCTACGACTGCATGCAGCCTAGGTCTCACGACTTCATGCAGCCTATCTACAACCCCCTGAAATATAAGACTGTCCAGTGACCTGTGAATTTTCCCTGTTTGAGGTAGGATATTGATAAATCACCCAAAAAACACTTTACAACCGTACCTTTAGCGTATATGGCAACATCCTCTCCTCCGTGTGTCTCCGAGTTCATGGGTACCGCAGACTGGTACACATACTCTTTGTCCTCTGTAAGAACAAAAATAGTTCATAATGGAAAAAGAAAGGAAAATGCAAAGTGCCAGCGTTTTAGACACTCGTAGGGGTCGATGCGAGAAACTTCAGAGTTCGTGTGTTGATGGTTTTATCTCAGGCACACTTACACCCTCACACACACTCCCACACGATATATATATATATATATATATATATATATATATATATATATATATATTATATATATATATATATATATATATATATATATTAGGGCTGTACCAAATAGTGATTTTTACTATTCAGCCGAATACGAATAGCAGGACCAACTATTAGACCGAATACGAATACGAATAGTGTATTATCATCATCAGGTGCCTTGCAGATTGGGGCGGCGATTATGCCGCTCCACAATCTGCGATCTCCTGCAGCATGTATTAGTTCTTGTCCTGACACACATCCATGCCATGCAACAAGACTGTCAAGAATCTTATTTCGTTGCCTTTCTCTATCGCTCCTTCCACAGATCTTTCTAGTGGTCACCACATGTTCCATTTTCCCTCTTCTCGTAACATGGCCTAAAAATGATTACTGTCTCCTTCTGATTTATGTGATTAGTTAGGACTCACAGCCATGTTAAAACTGGATACATGTAGCAAGCAAGAATTATGTTTCTAACCTTCAATGACAAAGATATATTGCATAAGATGTTCTTCATTTCATAAAATGCAAATTTTGCCTGTCCTATTCTGTTTCTTATTTAAGTAATGCATCTTCCATCTGATATTATCCATGTTGCCAGGTACTTAAATTTCTGTACTTGTCCCAAAATAACACCATTGACTTTTATTACACATTTATGAATAATTCTTTTCTTTGATACCACCATTACTTCTGTCTTCCCACTTTTCAAATTGAGACCCATTCTTCCACTTTCGAAAAGTGTATAGTGTATAAAATAGATCTAAAAAAAAAAAAAAAAGCGTTCATATTATAAAAGTACGCTGAAGTTTTGCATCACAAAATGTAGTACAGAATAGAAAACATTTAAAAACATTTTATGTTTGCATCCTTCAGTCAGTCAGTCAGTGGTAACTAATACCTAGAATGAAAGTATTTTTAGTTTTATAACAAGTAACTAAACTTGTAAATTGTCACTGACAGCTTAGTTAATCCATGAAAGCGACATAGGCAACAGCAACTATCGCAGTGAATGCAGAAACTGATGTAAGGTAACCACTATTCGTATTCGGCCCGACCGCAAGTATTCGGCCGAATACCGAATAGTTATTAGGTCCGCTATTTGGCCCCGAAGCGAATACGAAACGAATATTCGGTACAACCCTAATATATATATATATATATATATATATATATATATATATATATATATATATATATATATATATATATATATATATATATATATATATATATAAAATATATATATACATACATATATTCATACATACATACATACATACATACATACATACATACATACATACATACATACATACATACATACATACATACATACATACATACATACATACATACATACATACATACATACATACACTCACACACACACACTCACACACATCGTACCCACTCACCATAGGTTATAGGTTGCAGTACTACACATTACTCCGTAAGCTCTACATGTTACTCAGTAACTATTGTATAAAGTAAACAGTTAAGGACCCTTTTCCACACCTTCACGGCTAGACCTATATTTTATTTACCAAACGGCACTTGGTGGGTGATGTAGTCAGCATCACGCCGGCCGCCTTTTCCTCCCAGGACTTTACTTAGTACTCACTCAAGGCTTTTTTTTTTCAAAAGTAACCTTGGCTCCCAGGTTAATCCAACCTTGAGTGGGTACCAGGTGCATTTCTGGGAGGTTAAGGCTGCCGGCGCGATGCTGACCACATCACCCACCAAGGGCTGTTCGGTCTATAAAATACAGGTCTAGCCCTATATGTCCAGTACGCCTGAAGACGTGGAAACTGGTGCTATATTTTACTCTCATATGGCTATACTGTTGAACGGCGTGCCCGGGTTTTGTACCCGCTTCATTCTTCTTCTTAACGCTCATCGGCTGTAAACTCTGGTTGAACCTTCTGGTTATACGTCCACTTTTTTTAAGACTTTAGTCTTGTTCCAGAAATTGTTTTGTGTGCACATCCGTTTTACAGATCTGGCATAATTGTATGCAGGCTATTTTCTTGCCTCTCAGGCATTTGCATCCCGACATAGAAGGAAACTTCTAAACAGTCGACTCTTGTCGATGCAGTAGTTTTTTTCTTGTTGTCCTCCACTATGCGGCGTCGGTACCCACACGGAAAGTTTCATTCTAATTTCTGAGATGTTGTTCTTTCAGACTGCAACTAAGCCAGAAAGAGGAAAAACTACTTTATATATAGTACCATTTTCCACGCCTTGGCATATAAGGTTAGACCTATATTTTATAGGCAGATAATGGCCAACGGGAGGGCCATTCCTACCATCACCCCAACGCGCTTTCCCATGACTGGGCAGATTTTATAAAGGTAAAATCAACAAGGTCGCATACGCTTCGTCAATACTTGACTGTGCGAGGGATTGGTTATTGGCTGTCGACCTGCCTGGTTTTGAAAAGTAGGCAGAGTTAATACGGAATATTGGCCTGAGGCCAGACATAGTTCTGCACTCTGTGCATAAACGCCAGCTCCTCCTGATAGAGCTGACTGTGCCGTACTATTCGCTGGTGGAAGAAAATCACCGGTACAAGCTCAAAAAGTACGCTGAGATCGTTGCTGGTCTGAGGAGTGACGATCTTCGCCGTCAAAGTAGGCGCAAGAGGTCTTATCTCCCCCTCCACATGCAATGTGCTAAAGCACGACCGGCTCGAGCTGACAGTTCGTGCTGCTGACGTCACAGGGTCGGGCTAACGATTCCTTAACGCAGCGGTTCTTATACTGGGTGTCGAGGCACCCCGAGGTGCCGCGGCAATAATCAAGAAAAGTCGGCTAAAAATTGTGAAATTATTAAAGAAGGCATGTCGACACTTAAAAGGTAATATTTAAGTTGTCTTCCCTCGCCACTGTCGAAAATAGTTTATATTTTGTTTCAGAACCGCTGCGTTAACGCATCGTTAGCCCGACCAGGTGACGTCAGCAGCATGGCCCGTCAGCTGGAGCCGGTCGTGGCTAAAGCAGCTGTGCTTGTGAGGAACCGAGCGTAAACGGTCACTAAAACAGCTGGGCGAAGCTGCTGAAAGAGATAAATATCTGCCGGTGTCTCTCTACCAAACGGCAGTCCAACAATTGTCCTATGAACCAACTATAAACTGTCACTCTGGTCGTGAAGATAGTCAACTGATCTAATTTGCTACCGCAAATCGGACTTCATGGAGTCCGATGAAATGCAGCAGGGGAGGATCGAGGCCTGGCTTCATGACCCAGCTCGGCCCACCTTCCGAGATTGTTTATGAAAGTAATCTCAAGTTACTTGTGTATTCTTTACAGGACGTTGCAGAACCAACCCGAACAGTCCCTGGCTGTTGTGTGGTTTTTCTAGGCAAATTTACGTCCAGTAGTTTGCTATTGCTCCTGGACGGTCGGCTTTCTTGATACCACTGTCGAAACCAACGCAAGGCCCATGGCCCGCAGCTGGGATCGAACCCGGCATCCCGGCGTTCTCATCGACTTAGCCACAGAGCCGACAGGGAATAATAGGCGGAAAAAAATCGTGGATGAAGGATCTCTCTACTGATGATCGGTGGACCCCTGCTATACATGCTCTCGTGTGCAGTTCTTCTATTATATGATACAGATCAATCGGCGCTTGGTGGGCCATGTAGTCAACATCACGTCGGTCGACTTTACCTGATACCCTTGTAAGGCTGGGTCGACCTGAGAGTCAAGGACAGTGTGAAAAAATGTCAAGCTTCCTTGGGGAACACACGACCGTCGCACATGTGTGTGTGTGTGTGTGCGTGTGTGTGTGTGTGTGGGGGTGTGTATGTGTATGTCTGGGTGGGTGGGTGGGTGTGTGTGTGTGCGTGCGTGCGTATGTGTGTGTGGGTGTGCGTGTGTGTGTATGTGTGTGTATGTGTGTGGGGGGTGTGTATGTGTGTGTGTGTGTGTATGTGTGTGGGTGAATAAACATTCTATAAACGAAATGTACATACCTGTATCTACGTATGTTAGGTTTTGTCTGGTCGAGTTGTAGCCCGGCCCGTTGCCATAGAGGATTGTAGTATAGGGCATTTTGTCTGTGGCCTTCAGGTTGACATCCCCAAAAATGTCACTGACAGCTGGCGGAAAAGGGGATTTTACTGAAGGCATATTTATGAATGTCTGCCTGTCTGTATGCCGGTTTGTCTTTCTGTCTGTCTTTCTGTTTGTTTGATTATCTGTGTCTTTCTGTTTATCTACAGATTCGTATTTATTTGTCTATCTCTATGTCTGTAAGTATTTTTTTCGTTTGTGTATTGTTTCGTATTTCTTTCGTTTGTGTATTGTTTCGTATTTCTTTCGTTTGTGTATTGTTTCGTATTTCTTTCGTTTGTGTATTGTTTCGTATTTCTTTCGTTTGTGTATTGTTTCGTATTTCTTTCGTTTGTGTATTGTTTCGTATTTCTTTCGTTTGTGTATTGTTTCGTATTTCTTTCGTTTGTGTATTGTTTCGTATTTCTTTCGTTTGTGTATTGTTTTGGTATTTCTTTCGTTTGTGTATTGTTTCGTATTTCTTTCGTTTGTGTATTGTTTCGTATTTCTTTCGTTTGTGTATTGTTTCGTATTTCTTTCGTTTGTGTATTGTTTCGTATTTCTTTCGTTTGTGTATTGTTTCGTATTTCTTTCTATCTATCTATCTATCTATCTATCTATCTATCTATCTATCTATCTATCTATCTATCTATCTATCTATCTATCTATCTATCTATCTATCTATCTATCTATCTATCTATCTATCTATCTATCTATCTATCTATCTATCTATCTATCTATCTATCTATCTATCTATCTATCTATCTATCTATCTGTCTGTCTATCTATCTATCTATCTATCTATCTGTCTATCTGTCTGTCTGTCTGTCTGTCTGTCTGTCTGTCTGTCTGTCTGTCTGTCTGTCTGTCTGTCTGTCTGTCTGTCTGTCTGTCTGTCTGTCTGTCCGTCCGTCCGTCCGTCCGTCCGTCCGTCCGTCCGTCCGTCCGTCCGTCCGTCCGTCCGTCCGTCCGTCCGTCCGTCCGTCCGTCCGAGGTTTTAAAAAAAACTGACCCACTACTGCATGACCTATTTTTGAAAAAGCCTAAAACTGACCCAGCACTGAATGACCTACATATAAAAGAGCCAAAAACTGAACCACCACTGAATGACCCACTAATGCAAACAGCCAATAAACGCACCCACCCCTAACCGACCTAAAATTGACCCACTCCTGGTTGACCTCGGTATACATAAAGCCTAAAACTGACCAGCCCCTGCATGACCTACTTATTCAAAGAGCTAAAAACTTATATACAGAAGCCTACCTAAAATTGGGTTGCCCCGAGAAGCATATCCTGCGATGTTGAAGACGTGGGAATGGTCAGCGGTGACCACAGTAAGTGTGTCTGATTTACTGGTCAGTTTTGTGGCCATTTCGACAGCTTCCGCCAGTTCTACCACTTCGTGCAGAGATCTTGAGGCTCTGTTGTCGTGGTGGCCGTGGTCGATGCGCCCTCCTGAAACAGTGAGAGGATGAGGCGAATTGTACATGTGTAAAATTTTTGAAAGCGAGCAGGAGGTAGTTGACTTCTTCTTCTACTTATTATTATTCTTTGTTCACCGGCTGTAAGCCCCGGCGGAAAATCCTAGTTGTTCGTCAATTTTGAATTTGGGATTCTGCCAGGTCCTGAGTTTTGCGTGTACATCCCTTTTACTGGGTTACGATACGTGGGACGATAGATTCAAGAAAAAAATAAACGGCAGTCTCAGAGAGTACACTAATACTACTACTACTACTACCACCACCATTACCAACAACAACACCACTACTCCTGCTGTTTTCAGCTCATCCTCCTTATTCTGCTTATCTTTCTCCTTCGGCTTCTTCTCCTTCTTCTGTTTTCTCTGCATTCTCTACTTCTTCACGTGTTGCTTCTTCTGCTGTTTCGTTTGCCCTTTAATATGCCCTACATTCCTATCAGAGCTAATTCCTACTTACGCCGTTTTAGACAAGCTTGTAAGGGGGCAGTGGATCTGTCCCTCCGCGATTACCTTTCCATTCGAGTTCGCAAAGACCATTTGAGAGAACTGGTTCTGTATGGGTTGGAACGATGATATGGAGGAATTGTAACAATGGAACAGATGCTGAACAGCCAAGCCGCTCGTATATAACCTAGGACCCTTAGGGACAGCAGAGAACTTCCTTATTGGCTTGAAACTAATGCAGCCTGTAGTTCTGATTCTTCTTCTATTCCACCTTGTACCTCAGTGAAGTGTCGGGGAAAGGGGGAGGGGATGCAACGTTTGTTGATGAGCTCTGTCACGAGCACTATTAAAAGTGACGTTCATTTCTGTAAAGACTCTTTCCTAATGCGGGTCGTTATCGCTCCATATTTTCCGGGGTATTCCGCTCGCTCTATACCCGTTGTAACGGTTTAGTGTGGCTCGCTGTGGCAGATAGTACCAGGGCATTCTTGTTGGTGTCGAAAGCGTGGTTTCTTGATGACTTGTACTGGATTTATTCCTAGCATTCGTCTGATTTCGTGATTTCGTATTCTGTCTTTCCTAGAAACTCCTGCAGCTCTTATTAGGCATTTTATCTCTGTTGTCAGCCCGGCTCTTTAGCGTAGTTTGCTAAACCAGATTGCGCGATGACCGGGTGACGAACTCCTTGTGGTTCGGGTTCACTCCCGGGGGTAGGCAGAAGAGCCACATTTCTCCAAGATTTAAGGTATTTAGAAATGAATCAAGGCCGAAAGGTTGCGATATCCATAATACTGAGCCTAAGGGTTAACAACTCATGGCTTCTGGATACTAAAACAAACAATCTCTGTTGTCACAATTTTACGTTCATTGGAAGTGTCCACGTTTGGCACTGATAGCATAGTGTTAGTTAAAAAATAGTTCTGATAAGTTCACTTTAGTACTTCGGGGTATCTGCTTGTGTGTCAACAGGGAAGATTGTTGCCCCATTACTTGATTAGCTTTGGCATATCTCGAGCAAATTTCTCTGTCCAGTTTTCCGTCGGATGTGAAAAGAGCTCCCAAATCCTCAAATTCCTCTATTTGTCTTAGCATTTTGTTTTTTAATTTTATTTCTAAATTGTTTTTCTTTCTTTCTATCAACATTGTCTGTGTCTTCGAAATGTTTATATTCCTCCCCTTTGTTACTAATTTGATTTAGGAGGTTCTGTAAGCATTCCGTACTTTTTGCTATGAGTTCCTGGTCGTCGGCAAATAGTAATCCTGTAATATCTTCTTCAAGATTAAAGCTCGTTTCCTTACATATGGTATCCATGTTTGTTATAAAAGGAAATGGCGATAGTACACAGCCCTGACACACACCAGAGTTCACTGTAACAGTTCTTGACCCTCCTGACTTTGATCTTACGCAGCCTTTACTAAGTGTGTACAGGCTTTATCAAATATTAATGAAATGATTGTTGATTCCCTTTGTCCCTGTACAAGTGACGAAAACCATGAGTCGTGATCCGTGGATAAACATGACGTCTATGGCAAGCCACAAGACACATGATGACGTTAGGATGTGCAGTCTGCCTAGACACCCTCCAAATTATATGCTCTACCAAGCAGTTCATTTGCCATGCAATGGCGCACCTTGCAAACAAAGATGATGTGTGACAATACATGCAGGCGAAAGTTCGGTGCGTGCGTTCCCAATGCTATCTTTATGACAGATCGTCAGCACAACGTCAGTGAAAGGGGGAAATCTAAAATCTCGAGCAGGTAACAATGTGCAAATATATACAGGAATGTTTGCGATTTTCTTATTCGTGTTTGAATAGTTGATTTTTTTTCTTTTTGTAAGTGAAGATTCAGGAAACGTAAGTGTTGTAGATATAAGGCTGTGTGCAGGTGGGTGGACTGAGGTCAAAAAGTTTAGCAATTTAGATATATTTCTGTCTTACTCTTCTTGTTTTTATTTTTTTTCATTGTTCTTCCTCTTGTTCTTTCCCTTTTTCTTGCTTTCTTTATTTATTTGCTTCTTTCGTCGTCTTCTTCTTCCTCCTCCTCTTTCTCCTCTTTCTCCTTTTCCCTCTCCCACTCTTTCTTCTTCTCATTCTCCTCTTCCCATCTTCCCCTACTTCTCTCCTTTTCCTCTTCCTCATCATCCTGCTGATTCTTCTTCCTTCTTCATCCTCTTCTTCTCTTCTTTCTCTTCTCCTCTAGGTCTTCTTCTTCTTCTCTTCTCTTCTTCTTAGGAGGAGGTTCCTCCTCCTCTCTCTCTACTCTTCTTCTTCCTTCTTCTCTTCTTCTTCCTCTTCTTCTTCTTCTTCTTCTTCTTCTTCTTTCTTCGCTCTTCTTCTCTCTCTTCTTCGATTCTTCTTCTCTCTTCTTCCTTCTTCTCTTCTTCTCTCTCTTCTTCCTTCCTCTCCGCCTACTCCTTCTTCTTCTTCTTCTTCTTCTTCTTCTCTTTTCTTTCTGCTTCCTTCTTCTCCTCTTCTTCTTCTTCTTTCTTCTTCTTCTTCTTCTTCTCCTTCTTCCTCTTCCTCCTCTCCTCCTACTCTCTTCTTCTTCTTCTTCTTTTCTTCTTCTTCTTCTACTTTTTTCTCCTTCTTCTTCTTCTTCTTCTTCATCTTCTTCTCCTGCTCTTCTTCCTTCTCCTCTTCTTCTTCTTCTTCGTTCTTCTTCTTCTGTTAGTCTTCTTCCTTCTCTTCTTCTTCTACTTCTTCTTCTTCTTCTTCTTTTTCTTCTTCCTTCTTCTTCTTCTTTTTCTTTCTTCTTCTTCTTCTTTCTTTTTTCTTCTTCTTCGTTCTTCTTCTTCTACCTTCGTCTTCTTCTTCTTCTTTCTTCTTCTTCTCTTCTATCTTCTTCTTCTTCTTCTTCTTCTTCTTCTTCTCTTCTTCCTCCTCTCCTCCTACTCTTCTTCTTCTTCTTCTTCTTCTTCTTCTTCTTCTTCTTCTTCTTCTTCTTCTTCTTCTTCTTCTTCTTCTTCTTCTTCTTCTTCTTCTTCTTCTTCTTCTTCTTCTTCTTCTTCTCCTCCTCCTTCTTCTTCTCCTCCTCCTTCTTCTTCTGTTCATTCACATACCTTCAACAGCACACCTTCGGTAACCTATCTTCCACTACAAAATACTTTATTCTGCAGTATACTTTCAACCAAATACCTACACCAGCATACCCTCAATAACGTACTTATTTCAACATACCAACAACCGAATGCATTTACCCACTCACTATTATCAGCATACCTCTAACGGGATATCTAAATCATACCATAAACTACACACACACGACAGCCTGTATTCTAATGCATATCTATTTCAAAATACCTTTATTAGGACATCTTTACCTGCATACTCAAACAGCATTCTTCAGTCCCATACACACAACATCACACGTTCGAAACATATACCTATATCAGCTGACCTTCAGTGTACCTACAACAGCGTACATTGAACAGCATACCTTCAATCAGATACTTTTAATCAAATACCTTTAAAACACACCCTACCTACATCATACCTTTCAACCACAAACCGACAAAAAGCACCACTTTAATCCCCTACCTTCAACAAGAAGGAAGAAACCCTTGTCGTTTTTGCTGAGGATCCCAATGGCTTTTTCGACCATGTCACTCAGTGAGGGCTCTGTGGTCTTGTTTCTGTCAATCTCATAGGACATATGGCCCTGCTTAAACAGACCTGCCAAACAAACAATGAAGTCACAGCAGCTAATTACGTATGATCCGTTTTAAAAGTCGTGCCCAACTTTAAAAATCTGTAACTCAGTAACTGAAGGTTTAAGTTGTTGAAATTTGGCATGCAACTCTTTATTAAAAATGTCTTTGTTGCATGGCATGGAGGTGTGTCGGCACACGATACATGCTGCAGGAGATCCTAGATTTTGGAGAGGCATGATCGACCACGCGAGTCGGTAAGGTACCTGATGATGATGATTGCAAGCATGTTGTTTTAAATGTAAATAAACATGTAGTTTTCATTTCCCCCTATTTGCGGTTTTTTTAAAAAAAAAAGGGGGGGGGGGGGGGACAGACACAGATTTAAAGGAAGCAGTCAGCATGCATACGGTTAATTTTAACTTTGTAACTTTTAAAAATATTAAATTTCACGCGTTTCAAACGTATTTTGCTCACAGATAGTCGTCTGTGAAACCTAATTTATCATTGCACGCCGGATGGGTATCAAAATAATCACCACACATTGATGCACATGTGCTATGATTTTCACAGTCTCCACGCATATTTCAATTACTGTATATTCTATATTTTCTAGGGATACACAAATTAATGTTCAAAGAAAGATCAAAGAAATTCACCGCTTTGAGAAAGCAGCTCTTCTAATTGTAAATTATGAAATCTTATTGGCTTGGGGCATATAAGGTCACATGCAAAAATTCCTGTTTATCCTTACTTTCGAGATGTTTGTAAAATTGTGATGGCGCGACTTTTGTAAGGCACTATACGTATGTCTTTGTGAACATGCATAGATGTAGACCAGTGGATCCCAAATAGATAAGGTCGGGGCCCCTTCTTATTTTCGAAAGTCTGCCTTGTTCCCATACTTTTTAATCTCAACTCCTCTCATCGTTATCCTCTCGTACCTTGCGGTGTCGAGGTGAAGTATAAAAGTAAAAGTAAAGGACCCTTTTCCACGTTTTTAGGCGTATAGGGCATATAGGGCTAGACCTATATTTTTATAGATCAATCGGTACAAGATGGGTGATGTAGTCAGCATCGAGCCAGCCGCCTTTACTTCCCAGGACCACACTTGTTACCCACTCAAGGCTGGGTCTAGCTGGGAGCCAAGGTCATTAGTAAAAAAAAAAAGGCTGACTTCGCCAGGGAGCGAACCTTCCGATGCGCAGGAGAGCATCTAGCCGCTTCGCCACGGCGACCTCCCGAGGTGAAGTATAATTTACGACAAAGTGCCTGTCTCTGTGCTTCGCAAATGGCATTCCAAGGGACTCTGTTATTCCCTCTGTCCATCGTTTGCCCTGTCAGCCTATTCTTCGCTTCTCGCCTGGTCTGTACTTCATTGCTTGCTGTGGGATACTGTTTGTTGACGTCTGTGTTACATGACCAACCCATTTTATTTGTCCCTGATCTTCTCTCGTCTTGTTATATTAAGTGCCCTCTGTCCATGGTTTGCACCGTCGGCCTATTCTTCGCTTCCAGCCAGGTCTGCACTTCATTGCTTGCTGTGAGATACTGTTTGTTGATGTCTGCGTTACATGACCAACCCATTACATTTTTCCCTGATCTTCTCTCTTCTTGTTATATCAAGCGCCCAACACAAGAATATAATTTCAGTTGTAATTTTTCTTTTCTCATTGTATGTCATTGTCCAGGTCTGGCAAGATAAGAAATGGTTGGCTAGAAGATTGTGTAACAGAGTTCTCTTCTGGTTTCCATTGACTCATGTTTGTTTTTCAGTACTGGTGTCGTTTGTCCTGTGAGTTGGTTTGCTCTGTTACATCTGTCACAGATCTCGTCTTCTGATTTGTCAGCTGATGATATTTTGCTTCCTAAGTAGTGAGGATCTTGGTTTGTTTGAGAGGGTGTGCTGTAAGCAGGATATCTTTTGTTTCGTCTACTTTGGCTATGGCCTTACCTCTCTTTTGTTAGAGTCACATTTCATGTCATACCAAGGCTTTCTCCAATATACTAGAAACAGTCTTGGTTATACCCTGTGCACACTTGGTTTAAATCATGTATATGGCCTTGCATACCTTTCTAACAATTTTTATTAAAGAGAGTAAATCTGCAAAGGGGGTTCAAAGGAAAAACATACAAGTTACAGTAACCAAACCATTTTCTTCTAATTTGTCAGTATTGTTAGTAAGAATGCCAAATATGTTAGGCACGGAATATCCAGTGCAGACGAACACGATGACGTCATTATGACGGAAATAAAACACTGACAGATGAAAAGACAATTGCTAGGTTTTTGCAGTTTCTGTTACACTTTTATGGTCTAAAAATTTGAAGCCCACGCCAACATTAGAATCGCAGTAACAATTAATACACTGAAAGGCTGCGGTTAATTACTTTTTTTTCAAATGTTATCATGGATCCTTTAAATTTGTTCCTCTGACCATCAAAAAGGACCCAGTGACGTAGGCAACTCACTTGCAGTGAGGCTGTTCAGGGATATCTTAACCTGATAGTTCATTCCATTGAGCTACCCCCCCCCCCCCACCCCCACCTCCCTTCTTCACCCCACCGTCACATAAAAAAACATTTATTGTCACTGATATGGTCGTGCAGAACCAACCCCGGCATTATTTGGCTTTGTGATTTCTCTAGTTGTCGACTTCGTGGCTACGTTGATGCGAACGCTTCGTAATGCCGGGATGCCGGGTTCGATCCCAGCTGTGGGTCATGTGCCTTGCGTTGGTTTCGACAGTGGTGTCAAGAAAGCCGACTGTCCAGAAAGCGATGGCAAACTACTGGACGTAAATTTGCCTAGAAAAACCACACAACAGCCAGGAGCTGTTGGGGTTGGTTCTGCAACGTCCTGTAAAGGATACGCAACTAACCTTTATTTCACTAGTTACAATTTAAAGTTCAACAGTTTGCCATCACCCGTGAACGGTCAGGTCTCGGTGACGCTGTTAATACCAGTGCAAGGCGGTCTGCTGCCTGCAGCTGGGATCGAACCCGATACCACGGAATTACGTAGCATGTATAGTCGCTGTGGCTGAGCGGCTAGACGCTCGCCGCGGATCGGAAGGTGGTGGGTTCGCTCCCTGGCGAAGCAGGACTTTTTTTTTCAAAAAAAAAATAACCTTCTCTTCCAGGTCAACCCAGCCTTGAGTGGGTACCGGGTGCAGTCCCGGGAGGTCAAGCCCGCCGGCGTAATACAGACCACATCACCCATCTTGTGCGGATTGGTCTTTAAAATATAGGTCTAGCCCTATATGCCCTATTCGCTTAAAGGCGTGGAGAAGAATCCTTCACTTTTTTTTTTTACTTACTTATGCTAACACCTAAGTCACAGACGCTGATACAATGGGCGTAGGGACGGTAAAAGACAACGTTTCTGTAGCTTTATATATATATATATATACATACACACTAATAGATATAATAATTCAACGTAAGGTGCAAATGAAAGCGAATTTACCCAACAGAAAATCTGTCTCAGCCACATTCACCTCATCGAGTCCTTGCTTGTCGTAGACAAATCTGTGACTAGCCATCTTGTTTCTCTTGTCCAGTTTCCACTCCTGGTATAAGCACACACGATAAAGTATTTATTAACTCATCTTTTTGAGAGAGTTTTACAGATTATTTGAAGTGTATGCATACTGTTGGTTCCTCTCCTCTCGGGCAGATGCACTCTGACTTCAAAGGAAGCTCCCAATCAGTGGACTCTTACGACATGCTCCTGGGTAGGCAGTGGGATTATTCTTGTTTTCTCCACTTCTTCTTCTTCTTCTTCTTTGCGTTCACCAGCTGTACACTCTGGCGGAAAGTTCTGGTTGCTCGTCCATTACTGAACTGCAGTCCTGCTCCAGAACCTGAGTGTTGCGTGTGCATGTTTTACAGATCTCATTCTCTTGAATACAGACTGTTGGTTCCTTGCCTCTCCGGCAGATGCACTCCGACTTCAAAGGAAGCGCCCTAATTAGTCGACTCTTACGACATGCTTTTGGGGAGGCAGTGGGTCTATTCTTGTTTTCCCCACAATGGGACCCCGGAACCCACACATGGGGGGGGGGGGGGTTTCTCCACAATAGAACCCAAGAACCCACACATGCAAAATAGTCTTCTGACAGTGTATTAACACTATAGTACCATACAACGTGTCATATGTTCTCTATGGGTAAGTCACACAAAAGATCGTTTTGCCCGCTTTCAGGCCTATTGGGCATAGAGGGCTAGACCAAAATGTTATAGACCAATCGGCACTCAGTGGGTGATATGGTCAAAATCACGCTGGTCTCTTTTATTTCCCAGTACAATACCTGGTACTCATTTCAATTTGGATCGACTGAGAGTCAAGGTCCTTTTTTGAAAACAGACCGTCTCTGCCAGGGCCTGAACCTACGACCTTAAAGCGAAGGTCTAGCCGCTACACCACGGCGGCTCTCGTCCTCTATTGAGATGATGATACAAAGAAAACATTATGAAAGGGGCGCTCTGTGGAGGGGGGGGGGGGAGGTGCCTCTGACCCTACAATTGTGTAGGGGGTATGTCTAATGAATGAATGAATGAATAAATAAATAAATGAATGAATGAATGAATGAATAAATTAATGAATTAATTAATTATTTAATTAATTAAATAATTGACATTAGTACACTATGAACATCTATATACGTGTTCCTTCGCCTTCTGTGGCAGCCAGCGAAGTGTTCCCATGCTGAAAGTGTCGGTGGCACCCTGATTAAACGTTCGCCCCCTCCCTCCCCCCTTTTTTTTTCCCCCCCGCCCGTCCTCTGCCGGTTAAAATTCACCCCGACACTTTGCTCACTCCCAGCGAAATCATTCTGCCCAGCAAGGATGCTTTGGCTGTTCTGTTGCTGTTCTCTTCACTTGTTCCAAAGAGAGTTCATCACGTCCGCTTTATTATAAAGTAGAGGAATGGGACTAAAGCGGTCTAAGCCTGGTTTTAAAAGCGCAATAATAAAAAAAAAACAAGAATAAAATATTGAATGGCGAATAAATAAGATAGTATTTAAAAAAAAAAATTATTTGTAATGTAAAGTAAATACTTGAAAAATGTTTTTTTATACATTTTTTAAATAAAGGGGGATGGGGTATGGGGAAAAAGGGGGGGAGGGTCCTTACTTACTCTTGTAAATTTTCTTTAATGAAAGTAGAAGGGGTGGGTATTCAGCTCTTATCCCTAATTTTGTGTTAGAGGTGAAGACTCCGTTTCCTGAGCCGCCGAGTTACGTCACCTCTAGTGTAACCCCGGTAGTACACAATCCTGATTCTTTTTTATCGTAGAATGTTTTCATGTTATCTTCTCGTTATTATTCTTGATTGTTATTTAGTTTTACTTCTTGTTCTTCCCAGTTTGAGTTCTGAACCCCTTTTGGGTGGGTTGGGTGGGGAGGGTAATGATATACCCGTTGTTTTTTAATAATCATGTCGTTAAAAGGTCACTAATTTGGGCTGCTTCTTTCGCAGTCGGAGTGCATCTGCCCTAGAAACCAGGAACCAGCAGCCTGCATAAAAATAAGCTAGATCTGTAAAACAGATGTGTACACGAAACTGAAGTTTTAGAACAAGACTACCGTCCAGAAGTGGACGAACAACCAGAATTTTCCATCGGAAAGGTGTTAAACGTTTGAGAAGCAGCACGAAGAGAATAAACTCTTCAGCTGTTTATATTTTACTTTGACATCCGAAGGTATAATAGCAACAAGCCGAGGATAAAATAGCGATGAATGAATTTTGATTTTGTTTCCAAAAGGTTCTTTTCTTTTGATTCATCCCATCTCGGGGACTCCGAGATTTAGTGGGAAGTTTCCGGGAATGTCTAATAATGGTGTAAGGTGTGGGCAATAAGCACCGACTAGCTGGGACCTAATCCAACTCCAGTAATATGGACTTCTCCGGGAACTCCCCACGAAATGTCGGAGTGCCCAAGATAAGGTGAACTAAAACAAAAACAAACAAAAACTTTTAAAACTGCTTACAGGAGATATATTGCATTTCATTGCGTCGAGATTTACCCTATGTGGCTTGATCTCAGTAAAGCCGCTGGTTCCCTGCAAGTCTGCTGCACAAAGCACGAACTCTGTAGGTTTAGCAACGACTTTATTGATATCTCTCAAGTGTCAGACATCAGACATACCTCTATTAAGTTCCTGCCGTCCGTTCTGCTCGTCTTGTTGGTGTTAAACTTTGGGTCTGGATCTGGGTCAGGGACGCCATCAGGATAGAAGGCACCCCGTCCTCCACCAAGGATCACCTGGGGTGAATAGGGGACAGAAAAATTAGATTTACTTAGAGATGTAATGACAGTTAGATTTGCTTTAAGATGGAAGGACAGGTAGATTTGCTTCAAAGTGTAATGACAGGTAGATTTGGTTCAAGGTGTGATGACAGGTAGATTAGGTTTAAGGTGGAAGGTCATGTAGATTTGCTTCAAGGTGGAAAGACAGGTAGATTTGCTTCAAGGTGTGATGACAGGTAGATTAGGTTCAAGGTGGAAGGTCAGGTAGATTTGCTTAAAGATGCACGGGAAGAGATATATTCTTTAAAATTTAATGAACATATATTTGTTTTTGAGACGAAGCGACAGATATATTTGCTTGGAGATGAAAAGGTAGATAGATTTGCCTAGTGATGTAAGGAAGATAGATTTGCCTAGTGGTGTAAGGACACGTAGATTTTTTATGATTAAAGCTAAACAAATATATTTATTTACAGGTGTGAGAATAGATAGATTTGCTTAGAGATGTAAAGAAAGTTGTGTGCAATTAGATGTGTGAACAGTTATGAGAATCAATGTGACATAAATGATTGATGATAATAAATGAAACATAAATGATTGAAGGAAAATTAGTGTGTGTAGGATTATGACAGACGACTGGATTGAGAAAGAAGAGGAAGGAGGAAACGCGACAGAAGGAATCGGAAGGGTAAAAGCAGGAGTAATTTAAATAAACAGAAGCGAACTTGACAAAAGCTTATAAAAAAGAACAACAGAAGTGAAAGAGATGACGATGATGAAGATGCAGAAGACAATGACGAGAAAGAAGAAAACGTGTGGTAGGATGAAGGTTTGTCAAGGACACAAACGAGGAAGAAGCTGAAATGAGAAAGAAGACCACATTCTGTAATCAAATAAACTAGTTGAAATCATACTCAGTGGGAACACAAAAAGTGGGCTATTTCCATGATATAATTAGATATTTATTCATCTGGGGCGGGTTTGTTAATCTGTTGCTGAAGGCGATGCTTTTGTAGACCACAACAAGGATATACGCGGTCTTCCTTGTAAGCAATGTTCTGTGCCAGTAAGTTGTAAGATGAAACAACAACAAAAAATTTAAACAAATTTGCAATTAAAAAAACAACACATCTGCATTATAATTTACTTTGGTGGTGGCTAAAAGTATAAAACCACATAGTAAATCATAATCATGTAGCGAGTCCTTGGCAGAACGTGGCTCTCATCACGGTCTGCCTAAAAACAAAAATATCGGTCTTTCGCCAGCTCTCCCGCCTCATGAACTTTCATATTCAAGGAGTCACTTATATCCTGTGTCCATCTTCCTGTTGTTGGGCCCCTACCCCTCCTTCCTGGTACCATGCCTTGTGCTATTATCTTTTCCAATCCGCCGTGGCGCTTGATGTGACCAGAATATGTCACCTTCCGAAAAAAGGATGCTGTTTATTAGCCAGTCTTCCTTCATGCTCAGATTTGTTATAATGTCAGTAAATAATAGTAAATAACTGACCCCCCCCCCCCCCCCCCCCTTTTCATAACAGGGAACTCTGTCGTTTGCTTGTCTCGAGATATTATTACAATCACCAATCTACACAAACTAGTAGTTGATGCTTAACTTCATAATAGTGTGTACAGACCAATTATTTACTAGGTACTCTTTAACTTTTGCCAATTGCTGTAGAATTTACGAACTCAGTCAGTCTTACAACTAAATATATTTTGTTGTTCAATATTTCAACAACAACCAAAAAAAAAAAAATGTTAATTTAAACTTTAGAAAATCTACTTAATATAATTTGAGATATTACCATAAATGGCTTATTTTCGTTCTCTCTCTCCCTTTCTCTCTCCCTTTCTCTCTCCCTTTCTCTCTCCCTTTCTTTCTCCCTTTCTTTCTCCCTTTCTCTCTCTCTCTCTCTCTTTCTCTCTCTCTTCCTCTCTCTCTCTCTCTCTCTCTCTGCCTTTTTTTTCTGTATGTATGTGGCTCACTCTCTGCTGCCAAGAGAGTCGAACAGGCGTGAACGATGACCCCATAGGAACTAAGACAAATACTGTGCACATGTGCTTGAGGAATACCATCTCTACGGAAACTTTAGCCTAGATTTAGACTTGATGAGGCATAAACTAAATAAAGCCTTGAGGTCTCTACCATTTGAAATTACACCAGCTAATGTCAGAAAACTTTCAAGTCTATTCGCCTTATATAAATGTGGATACGTTCAGATATAAGTTTTTTTTTTTTAAATAAATGATAAGGAATGTGTGTGCATAATCACATAAATTATTTAATCCTCTAAAATGTAAAATATATTAAAAGAAAATTACATTTCTAAAAAATTGACACTTTTAGGTCCCTTCCAATTATAAGGCCCTAAGCTTAGTTTAGTTAGCTCATGCCTCAATCTAGCAATAACTCCTAGGAATATTAAAATTGCACCTTATCAAATAAATAGGCAGGCGTCAGTCGCTAGGAATCATGGCAATGACACCTCATCAAGTAAATAGACAGGCGTCAGTCGCTAGGAACCATAGCAATGACATCTAATCAAGTAAATAGACAGGCATCAGTCGCTAGGAACCATGGCAATGACACCTAATCAAGTGAACAGGCAGGCGTCAGTCGCTAGGAACCATGACAATAACACCTCATCAAGTAGAAAGACAGGCGTCAGACGCTAGGAACCATGGCAATGACACCTCATCAAGTAAATATACAGGAGTTAGTAGCTAGGAACCATGGCAATGACAACTAATCAAGTAAATAGGCGTCGGTCGCTAGGAACTATGACAATGACACCTCATCAAGTGAACAGGCAGTAACTTTTGAATATTAGAATCTTCATGGGTCGGAAGGCTGAGCTCTATCATAGAAAGATCATAAATGTAATACAAATGCAGTGATCCACTAGTGACTAGCTGGCCTTTGCTGGCCGGATGCGGCCCTCGAGCCACAAGATGCTTAGCCTTTTTCTACATAGAAACTTTGATACTAAGGGTGGTGTTCTCTCAAACGCAATAGCTTGCTGCGTTTATTTTCTTGCTAAATGCGACAGTGTATCGTTCACTGTCTGCCTCCATAGGGGTCGACAGCTGGTTCACCCAAACTGTATGTGTCACATCGTTCAGATCATGTTTGTACATGTCCTTATGGTATTGCTTTGGCGTTTTCATAATCTTGTCCCTGTTTCAAGTTCACCATGCAAAAGATCTTTTGGAATGTGGTTGTCTTCCATGAGGCAGACATAACCCAACTAGCGCAGCGCCTTTGCTTCAGTAGAAAGCACATGCCCCCAAGGAATCCAACAACATTACCCCATGGAATACTTGAACATCTCAAGAAATCTACAACAGTGTACCGCTGAATCCAAGAACAATCTCCGCTGTCACCCTAGGGATAATAGAACAACAACCCGAGAAATCTTACAATTTTCCACACGGAACCCAAGCAAAAAAAACGATAAGGAAGCATGTAATATTACCTCAAGTGATTCTAGAATAATACCCTAAGGAATCCTAGTTTTATCTAGCTAAATTCTATAATATTATTTCTAGAAACCCTACAATATTATACCCAAACACTAGTTGCGTATCCTTTACAGGACGTTGCAGAAGCAACCCCAGCGTTTTTTTGGCTGTTGTGGTTTTTCTAGACAAATTTTACGTTCAGTAGTTTGCCGTTGTTCACTGAACAGTGAACTTTCGGTAGCACTGTCAAAACCAAAACAAGACATTTCGTCCGCAGCTGGGATCGAACCCGGCACCTCCTGCCATAATGAAGCACACTCACTACGCCTAAGATTACCCTGAAGCATCCTTTAGTATCGCCACAAGAAACTAGAATACCTGTCTGAAGCACAGTTTGAGAATCTGCTAAATTAGAACGGTACTCTTTGTGTCTAGACCTCTTCCCTATATCTGGCCACACCCAATCCCAACAGACAGAGCCTCTATACTCACGTTGATATCACTATTTCTGGTGATAAGCTGCAGTGCGATGTCCTCACAGGCTTTTTCCGAGTCCGGTATCGCCCTGCAAAAATACAAGTTATTACTGGGTTAACTTCTAACTTGCTACAGTGTTTCCTTAATTTTTTTTTTTAAATCTTATCTCATTTATGTTTTGATTTTGTTTCTTAACCCTCTATCTTATCCGTTGTATGTTTATAAGCTGCATCCTTTTTATCTGAACACTTAGTCTGTTTAACAAAATATTGTTTTTATGGGACTGTGTTTGTTATCTTTCATAAGAGTATGTGTTTGAGTTCTTGACTTACTTTTTTAAAATGTGTGTCTGATTTATAACTGTTGATATTTTATTGCTCTAGTATAATATTATTCTTATTACAGTAGAAAGTACGTACCCCATTGAATTCTATAACAGAATCCCACTGATCCCTAGAGCATTACCCCACCAATCCTTCTATAGTACCTATGCAATCATGAAATAGTTTCTGCTTTTTTACCTCAAGGTATTACATCAAGTAACCCTACAATGCAACTGCTCAAAAGAAGTCAGAAGAAGACATGCATTGGCAATGCAGAGAATAGCATTCAGAACCATTGACAAAGCACTAGTAAATTGGTTAAAGTAAAAATCTTAAGATCATGCATTTTTTCCTGTGGAAACTTACGGTTGTCAGTCTTGGACTCATTCAGTCACTGAGGAAAAAGCTTCAAGCTTTTGAATTGAAATGTTATAGAAAAATTCTTAGAATACCATGTATCAGGAAGAGGAAATACATCGACGTTCTGAACGAGTTGAAGTATTTTGGCCACATCAAGCGTCATGGTGGCTTGAAAAAGACGGTGATGGAAGGTGCAGTTTGTGGAAGGCGAGGTAGGGGTCGACCACCGCGAAGATGGATGCAAGACATTGAAGATGCGTTGGCATTGAAAGAACATGGGGCTGGAGAGCTGGCTAGGGAAAGGGATACTTTCAAGCGTGCCGTGAAGACAGCGACGTTCTGCATAGGACTTGCTGATTGATGATGAACCCTACAATGCTAACCCAAAGAATCTTGCAATAGTAACTCAATGAGCCCTACAATATTAACACACGGAATCTTATAATAGTAACCCAGGGAATCCTGCAAAAGTAACCCAAGTAATCCTACAATAGTGACGCAATGAATCCTGCGATAGTAACCCAAGGAATCCTACAATGGTAATACAAAGAACCATCCAATAGTAACCAAAAGAATCCTACAAAAGTAGCCCAGGAAATCCTACACATTAACCCAAAGAATCCGACAATATTAACCCAATGAATCCTAAAATATTAACCCAATGAATCCTAAAATATTAACCCACGGAATCCTACAATACTAACCAAAGAAATCCTACGATAATGAATCATGGAATCCTACAATATTACCCTAATTTATCCCACAAATTAACTTATGAAAGCTCACAATATAACCTAAAGGAATCCTACAATACTAACATAAGGTATCGTACAAAATGACCCCAACGTATCCTACAATATTAACCCAGAGAATCCTATAAAATTGCCCCAAGAATCTTACAGTATTACCACAAGGAATGCTACACATTATCGCTTTTAAGCCTACCTCATATAAACTCGTTATTTGTATCACTTTAAATGTTATACTACTGCTGTCGCTACTGCAAATGCTATAGTGCTGCTGCTAATACTACTAGCATTACTACTACTACTACTACTACTACTACTACTACTACTACTACTACTACTACTACTACTACAACTGCTATTACTACTACTACTACTACTACTACTACTACTACTACTACTACTACTACTACTACTACTACTACTACTACTACTACTACTACTACTACTACTACTACTTCTGCTGCTGCTACTACTATTACTACTACTGATGGTGCTGCTGCTGCTGCAGTCGTAACTACAACTGCTACGTCTGGTATTGAGAAATAATTTAACATTATTTCAATACCACAAAATCGAAACTCTTTAACTATTGTGACGTTGTGATTGTGTGTGTGTGTGTTATTTACAACCATAATTATGATGATAACGACGATGATAATTGTGATGACAGCATCATCGATGAGGATCAAAAAGCTCACAAAGTGATTGATACGCAAGTACAAATATTTCCACGGAACAAGTAAACAAATGCGTCTACCTGTCTGTTTCCCAGTCCCGGTCAGCTGAGTGCGCGTACGCCCCGGCTGGTGTCGCGTGTGTTATTCTGGTCGTGGTCACTATCCCAGTCGATTTACCTAAATTATACAAACAAATACTATTGTAGCCCTACAAATAATAAATTCAAGAGTAGTGAAGAAATAAAGAAAGTGTCTGGGCAGCCCCTAGTATCCCAGTTATAAGACAAAGAAGATGGCGCTACACTGGACACATTCTGAGAAAAGGCGAACAGATAATTACAAAACAGGCACTAGAATATGAAAAACAGGGTTGGAGGAGACAAGGACGTCCGAGGAGAAAACTAGGGCGAACGTTGAAGAGAGAAGCCAAAGGTGCTGTACTGTTTCCCTAGGTTCTTAACACCTCTTCTCTCCTTTTTCCTAGGTTTCTTAAGACCCCCCCCCCCCAAAAAAAATACACTAGGTTCCTGACCCCCTACCAATGGTCCTTGAACACCCCCCCCCCCCACCCCATGTCCCTGAACACCTCCTGCTGGTCCTTGACCCCCCCCCCCACCCCATGTCCCTGAATCCTCTCCCCTGTCCCTGAACCCTCCCCCCACCCCTACCTCATGTCCCTTAACCACCCCCCCGGTCCTGAATCCCCATCCCCAGGTTCCTTAACCCCCCCTCCCCCACGCCCCTAAAGCTACAACCCCAGGATTCCCCCCTCCCCACTTTTTTGGGTCCCTGAACTCCCACCCCGCTTCCCCAACCCATATTCTGTAGGCCTGATAATAGGTTCGGGATTCACCCCACCTCCCCCCCCCCTCATGTTTCTGACTCCCCCTTGGTTCGGAACGACCCCCCCCCGCCCCCACCCCCATGTTTCTGACTCCTCCTTGGTTCGGAAGGACCCCCCCCCAACCCCCCCCCCCCCATCCCGCCCTAGGTTTCGGCGCATATGTACCTGCTGTCGATGACCACCGTAGGATAGAATCCACATGGGCGTTCTGTGTTGTGTTGCACATGCCTCTTTGAGCGGAGGCGGAAAGTCCCAGCAATCCTTGATTCGTCTTAATCCCACAAAGGAATGCAGTCGCTGATGCAGCGGAGTCTGTGATTTGTGAGTCTGTGTTGTATGTCTACAAGTAAGCACGACAGAAGATGACATAGAAGATTTCAGAGAAAAAGGAGATGTGAATAAAAGGCGAAGAAGAAGAAGAAGAAGAAAGAAGAGAAGAAGAAGGAGAAGGAGAAGAAGCCTTTAGAACTAAGAAGAAGAAGAAGAAGAAGCTAGGAGAAGAAGAAGAAGAAGAAGACAATAAATATCTGAGAAGAAGAAAGGAGAAGGAGAAAGGAGAAGGAGAAGAAGGAAGAGAAGAAGAGCGAGAAGGAGAAGAAGAAGGAGAAGAAGAAGAAGGAGGAGAAGAAGAAGAAGAAGAAGAAGAAAGAAGAAGGAAGAAAGAAGAAGGAGAAGAAGAAGAAGGAGAAGAAGAAGGAGAAGAAGAAGGAGAAGAAGAAGGAGAGAAGAAGGAAGAAGAAGAAGAAGGAGGAGAAGAAGAAGGAGAAGAAAAAAAGAAGAAGAAGGAAGACATAAGAATGCAGACGAAGAAGGAAGAGGAGGACTAAAGAAAAAAGATGAAAAAAAAGAAGAAGAAGAAGAGTAGAAAGATGACGTGGAGCAGGACAAAGGTTGGAGAAAGAAGAAGGGAAGAAAAAGTTAGAAGACCATAAGAAGGTACAGGAGGATGAAAAGCGGAAGAGGAGCAAAAAGAAGGAGATATATTGTTGACAAAACGACCTACCTTTGATAAACCCGTATAAGGAAAACTGTCAAAGCTTAGTTTATGCTCCTCCCCTTTCTTGTCTAGCATTTGACCAGCCAATATTCTCCCAGCAGTAACTGTTGAAACGCCCATTCCATCACCAAGGAATAGTATGACGTTTCTAGCCACGCCCATCTGTCTCTCTTCAAGGGTGGATCGTAACTCATCTTCAGCAAGTTCGTACCAATATGTCGGAGCTGTGTTTTAAGAAAACCAAATGATGATTGATTTATTTACGTGCGCTGTCTGATGCAGATAATGACTATTCTAGACAGACTCACGCACACGCACACACACACACACCACACACACACACACACACACACACACACACAAATATGTAGACAGAACAAATAAACGATAATTTTTTTTAAATGTTAACTGGGCACGCAGACGAGTCTGATAGTTTTGATATGTTGTCCCTTGCACTTTATATTAACGAGATCATACTGCTTATTCTTCTTCTTCGTAGTTAGTCTGAGTGATGCAAATGCGTTGCGCCTGTTTACAAGTAGTGGACATTTGCGCCAGTCTACACTTGATTGCCCCGGATTGGGTTTATCATTTACGCACAAAATGAGTCTCGATGGATGCTATCACCAGCCAGCTCGAGTTAGGCCCATCTGAAACATTACAAACACGACAAGGACGTGTCGCAAGAATCTTGCAGGAGATAGGTAAAATCAAAACTGAACCTCAAACCTGCCCGACGAAGCTACCTCCCCCTCAACTGCTCCAACATCCAAGGAGGGCAATAGCAGCCATTATGAGAAGACTGGTCTAGGAGGCTTCCACCCCCGACCCCCCTCCCCCTTTCCCTAAAAATATTTTATTGATACAGCTACTGCTCTCCCTCTACTGCCCTAGCACCTCCAATGATATTGTAGCATCTAGAGTTTGAAACACTGGTCTAACTAATTCTGCATATATGTATTCTAGGATTGATTTGCCTCCACCCTCCATATGTAAGTTGTTCGAAGCTGTCACATAATATTATCAGCATATATGTTAACAAAAAGGTATTAATCTGTTTTTCTCTATTTCCTCTTTCCTCCGATGCCGCATGTTAAGTAACTGCGGCTTGGTGTACCAGAGATTCTATACCATTCTCAGGTATACTAACACCTCAGTTGAACAATTTGCCAGGCACTTTGTTATTTTCCCGACATTGTCCTTAAAATTAATTCCCGGTGGTACCTATTCTGATGTAACCCCCGATACAGGGGCGCCGAATCAAGGAAAACATTTAAGGTGCTCAGCCATAAAACATTTTCTAGGGGTCAGGGACAGCCGAATCAGTGGGTCAAAGTCTTGTTAAAGAGTGCAATAAGTATTATTATTCTTAAGTACTGAGTGAAAAAGGACCTCTTGATCCAGACCTGAACTTTGTGTACACGATCTTGTAATTTTTTTAAAGAAGGCTGAGGCCCCCTTACTCTGGAGGGGGAGGGGGGTCTCAGAATACCTGAGCCCTCAGACTACGGTGCGTCTGATTCTACCACAGCGTTTAATTTCCTCTACTGCGGACTTCACCAAATTCACCCGTGTCATCAATTAGAATGTGTTGTTGCCGCGACAGACACTTGTGAATTGATTCTCTCCACGCGTGCTGATGAAAGTGGCAGCACCATTACAGCAAACTTAAAGGTATGATGTAGGAGGGATGGCTGCCCTTGAGATTCTGGCCACAAGCCAAACAGATGTCTAAGAAAGGCAATGAATAAAGCTTGAAGAGATCATGTGAGAAACGAGGACATTTCAAGAGCTGTTTAAAGTGTTTCGTCTTCTTTTGTTGTCGTTATCTGTATTTGTCCTTCATTTCTCTGGTAGCTTGGATGAGGACTGACCTTCAACCCCACCAGGTCATAATACCGAGCAACAAACACCTGGTGATATCATTCGGATGCGAATCACCCGGGGGCAGGTCCCTGGAACGGTGTTCAACCGATAGGTAGGGTCCCCAGAAACAGCCAGGGTAGGGCTTTAAAAAAATTGCGTCAGATTTTGGGTCGCTGGGTGTGGGTTTGAGATTGACCATTTATACTGGAAGAACAACTTAATTTACACTCACAGTAAAAGCAAAGACTGAAATGGTTTCACCCTTTAGTGAGACGGAATCCAGTGATGCAGCAACGAGAGGGTACAACTTGACGGTAGAAACATTAAGATGAAGGGGAAGACCAAGAAGATGTATTGAAGGAGTCACTGATGCTTTGAGGCTTCACAACATCGTAGCATAGATGGAAGCCGAGCGTGCCCTAGCTCGGATAGAGATAATCTGTTAACCTGCGTTGCCTTGTGGTGATCCCACGTGGGCGTGCATACATATGTGTGTGTATATGTAATTGTAGATGTATGTCTATAAATAATAGTACATGTATGTCTATATATGTGCGTGGATATAAGTGTGTTTATGGCCTATACCAGCGCTCCTCCCCCCCCCCACCTAATAACAATCACCAGGTGCTAGAGTACCGGTCCAAGCCACTCGTTTTCGTGCAAATAACATTTCTTAGCTAACATATTTGGTATAAAAAACCATAACCTAATAATAGCCGATATTAATCCCAGTGAGTTTAACGTGGTCTATATTTTACTTTATTTTCATCAATGGATAGATGAATACAAACCTCATGTGTTTTCATAGCCACTGCATCATCAGTGTCCTGTATCTACATTAGCGAAGGTCGGTCTCCATCTCCATCATCGTTTTCTCCAGACTACTATAGCGTTTGACACGCATCTCCATCATCGTTCTCTCCAGACTACTATAGCGTTTGACACGCATCTCCATCATCGTTTTCTCCAGACTACCATAGCGTTTGACACGCATCTCCATCATCGTTCTCTCCAGACTACTATAGCGTTTGACACGCATCTCCATCATCGTTTTCTCCAGACTACCATAGCGTTTGACACGCATCTCCATCATCGTTCTCTCCAGACTACCATGGCGTTTGACACGCATCTCCATCATCGTTCTCTACAGACCACAATGGCGCTAGACACGCATCTCCATCATCGTTCTCTCCAGACCACAATGGCGCTAGACACGCATCTCCATCATCGTTCTTTCCATACCACCATGGCGCTAGACACGCATCTCCATCATTGTTCTCTCTAGATTACAATGGCGCTAGACACGCATCTCCATCATCGTTCTCTCTAGATTACAATGGCGCTAGACACGCATCTCCATCATCGTTCTCTCAAGACCACCATGGCGCTAGACACGCATCTCCATCATTGTTCTCTCAAGACTACCATGGCGTTTGACACGCATCTCCATAATCGTTCTCTCTAGATTACAATGGCGCTAGACACGCATCTCCATCATCGTTCTCTCAAGACCACCATGGCGCTAGACACGCATATCCATCATTGTTCTCTCAAGACTACCATGGCGTTTGACACGCATCTCCATCATCGTTCTCTCTAGATTACAATGGCGCTAGACACGCATCTCCATCATCGTTCTCTCAAGACCACCATGGCGCTAGACACGCATCTCCATCATCGTTCTCTCCATACCACCATGGCGCTTGACACGCATCTCCATCATCGTTCTCTCCAGACTACTATAGCGTTTGACACGCATCTCCATCATCGTTCTCTCCAGACTACTATAGCGTTTGACACGCATCTCCATCATCGTTCTCTCCAGACTACTATAGCGTTTGACACGCATCTCCATCATCGTTCTCTCCAGACTACTATAGCGTTTGACACGCATCTCCATCATCGTTCTCTCCAGACTACTATAGCGTTTGACACGCATCTCCATCATTGTTCTCTCCAGACTACTATAGCGTTTGACACGCATCTCCATCATCGTTCTCTCTAGATTACAATATCGCTAGACACGCATCTCCATCATTGTTCTCTCAAGACCACCATGGCGCTAGACACGCATCTCCATCATTGTTCTCTCCATACCACCATGGCGCTAGACACGCATCTCCATCATCGTTCTCTCAAGACTACCATGGCGCTTGACACGCACCTCCACCATCGTTCTATCCATACCACCATGGCGCTTGACACGCACCTCCACCATCGTTCTATCCATACCACCATGGCGCTTGACACGCATCTCCACCATCGTTCTATCCATACCACCATGGCGCTTGACACGCACCTCCACCATCGTTCTATCCATACCACCATGGCACTTGACACGCATCTCCACCAACGTTCTATCCATACTACCATGGCGCTTGACACGCACCTCCACCATCGTTCTATCCATACCACCATGGCGCTTGACACGCATCTCCACCAACGTTCTATCCATACCACCATGGCGCTTGACACGCATCTCCACCAACGTTCTATCCATACCACCATGGCGCTTGACACTCATCTCCACCAACGTTCTATCCAGAAGATGTAATGAAGGAGTCACTGATGCTTTGAGGCTTCACAACATCATAGCATAGATGGAAGCCGAGCGTGCCCTAGCTCGGATAGAGATAATCTGTTAACTTGCGTTGCCTAGTGGCAATGCCACGTGGGCGTGCATACATATGTGTGTGTATATGTAATTGTAGATGTATGTCTATATATAATTGTACATGTATGTCTATATATGTGCGTGGATATAAGTGTGTTTATGGCCTATACCAGCGCCCTCCCTAATAACAATCACCAGGTGCTAGAGTACCGGTCCAAGCCACTCGTTTTCGTGCAAATGACATTTCTTAGCCAACATATTTGGTATTAAAAAAAACCATAACCTAATAATAGCCGATATTAATCGCAGTGAGTTTAACGTGGTCTATATTTTACTTTATTTTCATCAATGGATAGATGAATACAAACCTCATGTGTTTTCATAGCCACTGCATCTACAGTGTTCTGTATCTACATTAGCGGAGGTCGGTCTCCATCTCCATCATCGTTTTCTCCAGACCACCATGGCGCTAGACACGCATCTCCATCATCGTTCTCTCCAGACTACCATGGCACTTGACACGCATCTCCATCATCGTTCTCTCCAGACTACCATGGCGCTAGACACGCATCTTCATCATCGTTCTCTCCAGATTACCATGGCGCTAGACACGCATCTCCATCATTGTTCTCTCCAGATTACCATGGCGCTAGACACGCATCTCCATCATCGTTCTCTCCAGATTACCATGGCGCTAGACACGCATCTCCATCATCGTTCTCTCCATACCACCATGGCGCTAGA